TCGCAAGTTTTTTTTCACCTTTACCCGAGGTATATATACTTTTGATGATCTAATTGGTATGGTTGAATTAGGTCATTATGCGCTATAATCAGTAAGTGTGTCAGCACAGAGGAAAAGGTCCCATTTTTTCGGTATGCAATTTTTTGGAAAAATTTTTTTATCCTATAACTAGATTAAATTACCATTCCAATGACACCAGAACCAGTCTTCAGGCATGAAAATTGGCCGACATATGAGCCATTGAAGTTTTGAAGGGAATAAGGTTGATTTTGGTTGTTGAGAGTTACTGTATCTTGAAAACTAAGACAAAGTGGGACCTTTTCCTATGCACTGATAAAGGTTTGAAAATGAAATTACTATGAGGTTCGAATGGTTTGTTCTTATCACTGACTGCAAACTTTGAATCCAAGTGCGAATTCTGTAAATTCATTAGTGGCTGAAGTATGTCATTTCCTTCAACACCATGTAGTCTTCGATACTCCACTGCATCGAGAACCAAGTTCTTAAAGTAATCCAGCACTTTATCATTCACTTCTGCCCCATTTATTATATCATTCAACCAAGCGGGACAGCAGGATGCTAAAATTATGCACCAAGTTTTCAAAAAAGTCGGTCTTATAGTTTCATTCATCATATGCTGAAATTGATCGCTGGAGATGGTGGAGGTATGCTCTATGCCAAAAATACAAGATATAATGTTGTACATGGTCAATTTTTCGAATAAGTCCTTCAGTTCTACATCTATAGAATTCTGGCCATTCATTTGTTGGTCCAGGTGAGAGCTCACTTTGTCTATGGCGATAGAAAGTTTTTCATACATCTGCTTCGTTTTTGCTGAAGTGAAAAAGGGGCTCATAGCCTGACGCAAGAATTTCCATCGTCCATTCTTTTCACTGGCAAGATGCATACTCAGCGGATTCAATTTTTTATTGGACATGAAAGCATTTATACGACCTCGATTTGGAAAGTGTTTGAAGTCCGTCGTCATTATATCATATATTAATTGAGGATCTTTTACCATCAATGTTGGAGTATTCATTTCATAATATCCTGCATAAGGGTCATTACCCATAGCATTGTATAGCTCTTGGTACGTCTCTTGAAATGAGTTGAGATGTAACATACATTTAGCAAGATTGCCAAAAAGTGGAACCGGTTGGAAGTATTTGATGTTCAACTTTTTCCAATAGTTTTGTTTCCATTTTAAGTAATACCAAAGTATAACAATGACACTGGTAATACAAAATAAAAACACCAAGATCGACATTGTGTTTATGAAAAG